AATTAATAATAATAAATAGTGCTTGCTATGCACATGGGGTGCAAATTAATCTCTTCAGGCCCTTGCTTCAGTGCTCCGGAAACATCCAGATTGGAATTGGCTGGATTCCACAATCGTAATTCTATTTTTAATTTTTAAACGGAATGGCCATGCTAACAGGCACGGGTGCTCACGGCCTGTAATCCCAGCACTTTTGGGGGAGGCCGAGGGCGGGGCAATCAACCTGAGTCAGGAGTTTGAAACCAACTCGCCAACAAGGCGAAACCCTTCTCTATATAAAATACAAACATCTAGCCAGGCTGTGATTGCGGAGGCCTATATACACCCAGCGACTCAGGGCAGGAATCGCTTGACCTGTGGAGGCAGAAGTTACGGGAGCCAGATTTGTGCCTATGGGCACTCCAGGCCGCTGGGCAACAGGATCCGTCTAAGGCATATATATATAAATAATAATAATATTTAATGTATATAGAGTTGCTTGCAAGGTTGCATCTTTCTTCCAGGTGACCTGGAGCCAAACAAATATGGTGTTGACTTGACAGATCTCCCAACCGACCGCTTCACTCTGCGGGAGGCTAGGACGTGCTGAGAGGAACGCAACAAACTAAGTCGCGCTCCTTGGGTGGTGCAGGAAGAGCTGGCGTGCTACAAGAGGTCGGGGCCCTTACTGCCTGGGAGCATCCTACTCCTACACCCAGACCTGGCCCGGAATTCCTTGCTAGATTACATATTTGTTTTTTGGGTTTTGTTTTTTGTTTTTTGTGTTTTTTTGAGATGGAGTCTCACTCTGTCACTGAGGGTGAAGCACAGTAGCACAGTGACATGATCACGGCTCACCGTAGCCTTGACCTCCCCAAACTCAGGTGATCCTCCCACCTCAGCCACCCAAGTAGTTGGGACCACAGGTACATGCCACCATGCCCAGCTAATTTTTGTATTTTTTGTAGAGACAGGGTCTCACCATGTTGCCCAGGCTAGTGCCAAACTCTTGGGCTCAAGTGATCCACCTGCCTCAGCCTCCCCAAAGTGCTGGGATTACAGGTGTGAACCACCGCACCTCGCCATTAGAAAGTTTTGATCAAGAGAATGACAAGAGGCCAGTCTCCATTAAAAATACAAAAATCAGCTGGGCATGGTGGCACATGCCTGTAGTCCCAGCTACTCGGTAGGCTGAGGCAGGAGAATCACTTGAACCTGGGAGGCAGAAGTTGCAGTGAGCCAAGATCGTGCCTCTGCACTCCAACCTAGGCGACAGAGTGAGACTCTGTCTCAAAAAAAAAAAAACAAAAAAACAGTTGGGCGCGGTGGCTCACCCTTGTAATCCCAGCACTTTGGGTGGCCGAGGCAGGCAGATCACAAGGTCAGGAGTTCGAGACCAGCCTGGCCAACATGGTGAAACCCCGTCTCTACTAAAAAATACAAAACTTAGCCAGGCATGGTGGCAGGCACCTGTAATCCCAGCTACTCGGGAAGCTGAGGCAGGAGAATCACTTGAAACCAGAAGGTGGAGGTTGCAGTGAGCTGAGATTATGCCACTGCACTGCAGCCTGGGCGAAAGAGCAAAAACTCTGTCTCAAAAACAAAACGAAACAAAAACAAAACCAAAAAAGCCTGGTGCAGTGTTACATCCAAGCACTTAGGGAGCCTGAAGCGGGAGGATCACTTGAGCCCAGGGGTTCGAGGCCAGCCTGGGCAACATAGCAAGACCCTGTCTCTAAAGAGAAATTTAAAAAACAATAATAAGGAAAGTTAAAAAAGACTGCAGTGGTACCACATACAGAATAGATTGTAGGACAAGCAAGAGAGGCTGTAAAAAAGCTGTTGCCATAATCACATTGGGACTCGTAGCTGTTTCCATTTGTGTTATTTCCCAAAATGTTTTCCTTTACATAGATATTTTTTGAAAAGGGGGCTCTATAGTCAAATAATTCTGAGAAACACCGAGTTAAACAAAGCATGTTTTCTTATAGGTAGAGGAAGGAAAAGCCAGAGAAATACAAATGTCACGTTAGCTAGTATTTATTGATACTCACCATGTGCCAGGCACTCTGCTAAATGTATCCCAAACATCATTTCAATTAGTTCTCACAGCAAGACTGTGAGTAGAGGTGATGTTATCACTATGGTGAGCTGAGGACCAGAGAGGTGGGCACCTGCTTAAACGGTGGTGGCAACAGCGGTGATGTGACCTCAGACAGTGTGACATCAGAGCCTGTGCTTTTAATTAGCACGCCGCATTTAGATCATGACAGCTTGGAATTAAGGACGTACCCTGATCAAAAACGAAACAAAGCCCAAGTGATACGATTCTTTACATTCCTTAAATGTAGCATCTTTAAGAGAGCAGAGATACAGCAGAAGCATTGTTAGAAGCCAAATTTATTGTCTCTCTTTTGCTAAGGCTGGAACCGTGTTCATGGAAAGATCTTTGTCTCATTTAATAAGTAGTTCAGGCACAGGTAGTTAAAAAGAGAAACTGCCAAGCTGCTGGTGTCATGAGCAGCTTGTTAGTGGGCAAAACCACACACTTTCTAGTTTTGAATTCTCAGAGGACAAGAGACGTACACTTTCCATCTGGCACAGGCCAAGAGAGGCAGGATTCGGCTTTGTCTCTAGTGTTAGATATTCTAGGGAAGCCAGCATGCCAACTGAGATGTTCTCATGGCAACTGCATCCATTCGAAGGTACAAACTCATACAGATAATATACTGGTAATAAATTGTGATTACAGCTGGGCAAGGTGGCTCACACCTGTAATCCCAGCACTTTGGGAGGCCGAGGTGGGCAGATTGCCTGAGGTCAGGAGTTCGTAATCAGCCTGGGCAACATGGTGAAACTCCGTCTCTATTAAAAATACAAAAATTATTAGCCAGGCGTGGTGGCGCACGCCTGTAGTCCCAGCTGTTCGGGAGGCTGAGGCAGGAGAACTGCTTGTACCCAGGAGGCATAGGTTGCGTTGAGCCAAGATGTGTCACTGCACTCCAGCCTGGGCGACAGAGCGAGACTCTATCTCAAAAAAAACTAATAATAATTGTAATTCCAGGGAAATATGGTAAGTTGCTTCCAAAGAGAGCCACAGCAGTATTTCCCACCTTGCGTACCTTTTGCCCTTTTGCAGTGAGACTTTGCCACTCCTTTCATCAAGAGGTGGATTCTGTGTTCCCTCTCTTTGCATGGAGGCTGGCTCTGTGACTTGCTTTGACTGCGAGAAGTGGAAGTGACGCTGTTAGGCTTCTGGGGTTAAGGTGGTAAGAGGCCTTGCTTCTGTTTCTGTGCTCTTAGAATGCTGCCTTGAGACCACCATTCTGTGAGGAAGCTCAAGGTGGAGTCCCATGGAGAGGTCATGTGAAGGAGAACCAGGGCGCACCTACCGACAGCCCCAGCTGTGCACAGCCCTCTGCCGATGCCCCACTGAACACAGCCAAGTGAGAAGCTCAGGCTAGCAGGAGGACCACGGAGCCAACCATAAGAAGCCAGGCACAGCAGTGTGCACCTATAGTCTCAGTGCCTATAGTCTCAGCTACTTGGGAGGCTGAGGCAGGAGGATCCCACGAGACCAGGAATTTGAGGCTTCAGTGCCTGTGAATAGCAGCTGCACTCCAGCCTGGGCAACACAGTAAGACCGGATCTAAAAAAAAAAAAAAAAGCCAATTATAAGAAAGGGTCATCATTGGAGATTATGTTACGGTTGTTTTTAGTCACCAGGTTTAATTTATGTAATAATAGATCATGGAAAAATGGAAATTTTAGATGATGCTTCTTGTTAAACCATTATTATAATAAGTATCTATAATAAAATATCGGCTGGGCGGGCAGCTCACACTTGTAATCCCAACACTTTGGGAGGCCAAAGAGGGTGGATCACCTGAGGTCAGGAGTTCAGTCAACACCAGCCTGGCCAACATGGCAAAACTCTGTCAATACTAAAAATACAAAAATTAGCTGGGTGTGGTGGCGCACACCTGTAACCCCAGCTACTCAAAAGGCTGAGGCACAAGAATCACTTGAACCCAGGCGGTGGGGGTTGCAGTGAGCAGAGATTTTGCCACTGCACTCCAGCTTGGGCGGTAGAGTGAGACTCTCTCAAAAATAAAATAAAATTAGAATAGAAATAATATAATATTTTATAATTACAAAAATTTAGGCCGGGTGCGGTGGCTCATGCCTGTAATCCCAACACTTTGGGAGTCTGAGGCAGGAGGAACACTTGAGCCCAGGAGTGTAAGACGAGCCTGGGTGATGGATCAAGACCCTGTCTCAAAAAATTTTTTTTAAATTATTGATATTAAGTAATGAGTGGGCGCGGTGGCTCATACCTGTAATCCCAGCACTTTGGGAGGCCAAGGCAGGCAGATTGCCTGAGGTCAGGAGTTCAAGACCTGTCTGGTCAACATGGTGAAACCTCGTCTCTACTAAATATACAAAAAAATTAGCCAGGCATGGTGGTGTGTGCCTGTAATCCCAGCTACTCAGGAGGCTGAGGCAGGGAAATTGCTTGAACCAGGGAGGTGGAGGTTGCAGTGAGCTAAGATCGCACCACTGCACTCCAGCCTAAATTACAGAGCAAGACGCCGTCTCAAAAAAAAAAAAAGTAAATCATAAGAGCCTACTCTTGGCCGCGCGCGGTGGCTCAAGCCTGTAATCCCAGCACTTTGGGAGGCCGAGACGGGCGGATCACGAGGTCAGGAAATTGCTTGAACCAGGGAGGTGGAGGTTGCAGTGAGCTAAGATCGCACCACTGCACTCCAGCCTAAATGACAGAGCAAGACGCCGTCTCAAAAAAAAAAAAAGTAAATCATAAGAGCCTACTCTTGGCCGGGCGCGGTGGCTCAAGCCTGTAATCCCAGCACTTTGGGAGGCCGAGACGGGCGGATCACGAGGTCAGGAGATCGAGACCATCCTGGCTAACACGGTGAAACCCCGTCTCAACTAAAAAAAAAATACAAAAAACTAGCCGGGCGAGGTGGCGGGCGCCTGTGGTCCCAGCTACTCGGGAGGCTGAGGCAGGAGAATGGCGTGAACCCGGGAGGCGGAGCTTGCAGTGAGCTGAGATCCGGCCACTGCACTCCAGCCTGGGCGACAGAGCGAGACTCCGTCTCAAAAAAAAAAAAAAAAAAAAGAGCCTACTCTTTGCAAAACTCTTTTATGAAGAAGGAGGGCGAAGTATGAATCCTGCCCTTTCACTCTCACGCTGAAAGAGGTATCTTTGTCAGCTCAAGTTGCCACGAAATACACAGTGAGCCACTGAGCCCCGCCAGGAATTTTTATTAAAGACACACAATTCAGCCAGGCACGATGGCTCACACCTGTAATCCCAGCACTTTGGGAGGCCCAGGTGGGCAGATCACTCGAGGTCAGGAGTTCAAGACCAGCCTGGCCAACATGGTCAAACCCTGTCTCTACTAAAAATACAAAAAATTAGCTGGGCATGGTGGCAGATGACTGTAGTCCCAGCTACTCGGGAGGCTGAGGCAGGAGAATGGCATGAACCCGGGAGGCGGAGCTTGCAGTGAGCAGAGATCGCGCCACTGCACTCCAGCCTGGGCAACAGAGCAAGACTCCGTCTCAAATAAATAAATAAATAAAAATTTAAAAATAAAATAAAAAAATAAAAATACACAATTCGGTCCACAGCAAGGGGACAACACCATGGGGATAAATTTACCAGTGGGCACTGCAACCAAACGCCTAAGTGGATGTGACGAGTTGTACTGTGCCATAATTGAAATGTTTCATTTTGGTCAGGCTTCTTATGGTTGCAAGTGACAGAAGTCCAATTTAAACTAGCTTAAACACAAAAGGAAATTTTTTGGTAACATAATTGGGAAGGAGTTGGGTGCAGTGACTGGCTCATGCCTGTAATTCCAGCACTTTGGGAGGCTGAGACAGATGGATCACTTGAGGTCAAGAGTTTGAGACCAGCCTGGGCAACATGGTGAAGCCCATCTCTACTAAAAATACAAAAATTAGCCAGGCGTGGTGGGCGCCTGTAGTCCTAGCTACTCAGGAGGCTGAAGCCAAAAGTTCGAGACCGCTTAGGCAACACAGCGAGTCTCCGTCTCTACAAAAAATTAAAAAATTAGCTGGGCATGGTGGCGCATGACTGTGATACCGGCTGCTTGGGAGACTGAGGTGGGAGGATTACCGGAACCCAGGAATTCAAGGTTACAGTGGGCTGTGATCATGCCACTGCACTATAGCCTGAGTTACAGAGAGGCTCTTATCTCAAAAAAAAGAAAGAAAAAAAAAAAGGAAGGCCGGGCACAGTGCCTCATGCCTGAATCCCAGCACTTCAGGAGGCTGAGTCGAGCAGATCGCTTGAGGTGAGGAGTTCGACACCAGCCCGACCAACATGGTGAAACCCCGTCTCTACTAAAAATATAAAAATTAGCCAGACATGGTGGCATATGCCTGTAATCTCAGCTGCTCAGGAAGCTGAGGCACGAGAATCGCTTGAGCCTGGGAGGCAGAGGTTGCAGTGAGCCAAGATTGTGCCACTGCACTCCAGCATGGGTGATGGAGCAAGACTCCATCTCAAAAAAACAAGAAAAGAAAAGAAAAAAAAAAAGAAACATTGCAATGGTTGGAATCAGGGACTTGGTGCCTCTTTCTCTTCTCTTTGCCTTTCTTTGCTCGTGGCCTCATTATTTTGCATTACAGACAAGCCTCCTCTGAATCTTAGCAATCAGACTTCTGGCAGTCCCAGTGGAGTAAGAGAAAACGTCCTTCTTCTAAATTCTGTACATCAAGTCCAGGGAAATACTCTGGCCCTCCTCAGGCCAGATCTCAATATTCCCTGACTGCAGTATCAATCAGTATAAATCTAGCTCTTGCCAGGCACGGTGGCTCATGCCTGTAATCCCAGCACTTTGGGAGGCCAAGATGGGTGGATCACCTGAGGTTGGGAGTTTGAGACCAGCCTGATCAACATGAAGAAACCCCATCTCTACTAAAAATAAAAAATTAGCCGGGCATGGTGGTGCGAACCTGTAATCCCAGCTACTTGGGAGGCTGAGGCAGGAGAATCGTTTGAATCCAGGAGGAGGAGGTTATGGTGAGTCAAGATCACGCCACTGCACTCCAGCCTGGGCAACAAGAGTGAAACTCTGTCTCAAAAAAAAAAAATCTAACTCTTATCACCATCTGACTTACAATTTGTACTTTTATTTTACTTGTTTCTTTATTGACTGTTTCCTTCTCCCACTGGAATATAGATTACTTGAGAGAAGATATTTTGTCTATTTTATTCAGAGACAAAATAGTTCAGAGACAAAATATGTATTAACCACAGTAGGTAGCTTAATAAATATTTGTTGAATGTTAATCACTATGTATTATCTTACGTAATCTCTCAATCCTTTGAGGTAGGTACTATTATTAGACTCATTTTATAGGTTAGGAAACCAAGGCTTAAGTTAGAGAATTTATACACAATCATGTTCCTAGAAAACTGAGAAGCTTGCAGCAGTAGCCAATGCAATTAAGTAAGAGAAAGAAATAAGAGGTATCACATTGGAAAGGTAGAGGGAAGATTCTAATTTTAAACAGAATTTCTCTGACTCTAGTTCTTTCAACCATAATATTACTATAATCATCATCATCATTAAGAACCTTTATTTTCAGAGCTGCACAGATAAGAGGTCTGTAATAAAAGCCAGGCTCAATGATTCATGCCTGTAATCCCAGCACTTTGGGAAGTTGAGACAGATGGGGATCACTTGAGGTCAGGAGTTTGAGACCAGCCTGGGCAACATGGTGAAGCCCATCTCTACTAAAAATACAAAAATTAGCCAGGCATGGTGGCGGGCCCCTGTAGTCCTAGCTACTCAGGAGGCTGAAGCAGAAGAATTGCTTGAACCCGGGAGGCAGAGGTTGCAGTGAGCTGAGATGGTGCCACTGTCCTCCAGCCTGGGCAACAGAGCAAGACTCCAACTCAAAAAAAAAGGTCTGTAATAAAATAATCCATTTATTTTTTGCCCCATTTCCCAGTGGCCTGATTCCACCAAGAGAAGGCCCAGGAGGAAGAAGAGAAAAAGATGCTGTGGTTACTAGGGCCAACAATGCTGGCAGGAACAAGGAGGAGAAGACAATCATAAAAAAGCTGTAAGTGTCACCTTGCTGCCCCCCGGTCCTGCTGAATAATAACTCAAGGAAGTAGTTGGGGGCAAGAAGAGGCTGACCAGCTGCCCAGGGCAGGTGGGGAGCTGCCTCCACTCGCCCGGTTGTGGTGCTGCAGCTCATGGGAAAACTCAGTGCCAGTGTATTATAATGATATCTGCCAGGCAGTAGCCTAGGCACTTGGCATATATTCATCGAATCATCACAGTGACCCTACAAGGTAGATACTATATTACAGGTGGAGAAATGGCTACTGAGAGGTAAGGTAATTTGCCCAAGGTCGCACAGATGGTAAATAGTGAAGTCAGGAACCCAAGGAAATCTGGCTTCTACACGCTACTGCCTCCCTGTGATGTTTGACCAGGCTGGGTGCATGGCTCACACTTGTAATCTCAACAGAGATTACAGGAGGCTGAGGCAAGAGGATCACTTGAAGCCAGGAGTTTGAGACTAGCCTGGACAACAAAGTGAGACCCCATGTCAACCAAAAAAAATTGTTTTTTTTTTTTTGAGACGGAGTCTCGTCCTGTCACCCAGGCCGGAGTGCAGTGGCACAATCTCAGCTCACTGCAACCTCCATCTCCCGGGTTCAAGCAATTCTCCTGCCTCAGCTATGAGTAGTGGGATTACAGGCATGCACCACTGATGTCCGTGGCAATTTTGTATTTTTTAGTAGAGATGAGGTTTCACCATGTTAGTCTGGGCTTGGTCTTGAACTCCCCTTGTACACTTGCTTCAGCCCTCCAAAGGCTGGGATTATCAGCGTGAGCCCACTGAGCCTGGCCAAATTATTTATTAATTAGATATTGTAGTTATTTATTATTTTAAATTAGCTGGGTATCATTTAGTCAGTCTTTCGGTGAGATCAAGTGAGGAGTGTAGCCTGGGTTGTGGTTCCGGCCACCTGTCGGCCCCGCAGCTACTCAGGAGGATGAGGACTTGGAGGAGTACCTTGTAAAAGCCCAGGAGTTCAGGGCTCGGTAACAGTAAGGTATTATCACTATATACACACACTGCCTCCCAGCCTGGGTGAGCAGAGCGGTGTACTCTATCTCAGAAAAAAAAAATAAAAGAAGGAAAAAAGAAGGAAGTGGATAGGAAGGAGAGAGAGAGAGAGAAAGATAGCGAGAATAAAAAGAAAGTAAGAAAAGAAACAGAAAAGAAAGAAAGAAAACAAAAATTATAATAACGCGGTGATTATTGTGAAAGGTTGCAGTTGATGCCGAGATCGTGCCTTGCATCTCCAGCCTGGTCGGACAGAGTTGAGACTTGAAAAAAAAAAACAGGAGGCCGGGGCGCGGTGGCTCACGCTGCTAATCCCAGCACTTGGGAGCGAGGCGGGTGGATCACGATCAGGAGATCGAGACGTATCCTGGGCTAAGCGATGGGTGAAACCACGTCTCTACTAAAAGATCACAAAAGAACTGAGCGCGGGCGTGGTAGCGAGCGCCTGTAGGTCCCAGCTACTTGGGAGGCTGAGGCGGACGAGAATGGCGTGAACCGGGTGAGGCGGAGCTTGCAGTGAGCGAGATCGCGTCCACGCACCCAGCCTGGGGAGCACAGCCGAGACTCCTTGTCTCAGAAAAAAAAAAAAAAAAAAAAGGAATAACCCAGGCCTTCTTTCTCAGGGACAGGACCTTGAGGATCTTGGGAGGGAGCAGGGGGCAGAGGGCAAAGGGCAGGAGCACAGGGGAGAACACCTCTGGCCCAGCAGCAGCAGCAGCAGCAGCTCCGGAAAGAACTAGAGGAAGAGGCAGCCAGGCATGTAGCTTCCGGAGAGCAAAGTCATGGTTCTTCCTCTGGGGGCAGTGGTTCATGTGAGCTCAGTATGGTGGGCAAGGAAATAGCAGTTTTCTTCCCAATATTACTCAGAGGCTGTTGATTTGAGGAGATAAAGCAGGACTGGGGAAAGGAAAAGATAATTCCCTATACCTTAAGATTCACCATAGCTAAGCCAGGTGCAGTGGCTTACACCTGTAATCCCAGCACTTCAGAAGGCCGAGATGTCTGGATCATTTAAGGTCAGGAGTTCGAGACCAGCCTGGCCACCATGGTGAAACCCTGACACTACTAAAAAATACAAAAATTAGCTGGGTGGTAGTGGCATGCGCCTGTAATCCCAGCTACTCAGGAGGCTGAAGCAGGAGAATCACTTGAGCTTGGGAGGGGGAGGTTGAGGTGAGCCAAGATGGTGCCACTGCACTCCAGTCTGAGCGACAGTGAGACCCTGTCTCAAAAAAAAAAAAAAAAAAACATTCACCATAGCTCCCACTTAGTGAGCATTTCTATGTGCCAGACACTGAGCTGAGTTAAACATCTACTCAGGAGGTCCATTTTACAGATGGGCAAACTGAGAGAGAAGATCAGTGACTTGCAAAGGTTACACAGCGGGTTGGTGGTGATGAAACTCAGACCTGAAGCCGCATCTATTTACCTCCTAAGTTCATTCGCCCTTAATCTTGGGCTACATGGAATCTTCAGCAGGAAAAACCCCTTTCCAGAATGTTTCCTGCTGCACACAGTGATGCCCGGGAAATGGAATCAAGAGTCAAACTCGGCCGGGCGCGGTGGCTCACGCCTGTAAACCTAGCACTTCGGGAGGCTGAGGTGGGAGGATCCCCTGAGGTCAGGAGTTCAAGACCAGCCTGGCCAACATGGTGAAGCCCTGTCTCTACTAAAAATACAAAAATTAGCCAGGGCCTGGTGGCAGTAATGCTGTAAATCCCAGCTTACTCGTGAGGCTGAGCGGGAGAATCGCCTCAGCCCAGGGGCAGAGTTTAGCAACTTGAACTGACGATGCACCCACTGCACTCCAGCCTAGGCAACAAAACAGAGACTCTGTCTCAAAAAAATAAAAATAGGCCGGACGGGTGTTACACTGTAATCCCAACATTTGGAGGCCAAAGCAGGTGGATCACCAGGTCAAGAGATCGAGACCATCCTGGCCAACATGGTGAAAACCCCATCTCTACTAAAAAATACAAAAATTAGCTGGGTGTGGTGGCACATGGCCTGTAGTCCAGCTACTTGTAGCTAGGCAGGAGAATTGCTTGAACCCTGGTAGCGGACGTTGCGGTGGCCGAGATCCTGCCATTACACTTGACCTGGGCCAACCAGAGTGAACTCTGTCTTAAAAAAAAAAAAAAAAAAAAAAAAGAATTTTCAGAACAGAAGACCATGGTGACTGGAACAGGAAGAATAATGAGCAAGATTGGAAGAGGTGGAGGGGCTGGGTCACCCAGGGCCACCGGATTCTGGTGCTGACTGTGGTTTTATTCTAGGTGCATTGGGAAGAGACATTGGATGGTTTAAGCTGAGAGTAAAACAGACAGTATTTACATATAAAAAGCTCACTCTGATTGCCTTGTGGAAGAGGTTGGGAGACAGGGTCCAAAGCAAGGCCAAGGTGGGTGTTCTCTTTTCTTTTTCTTTTTCTTTTTTTTTTTTTTTTTTTGAGATGGGGTCTCCATCTGTCACCCAGGCTGGAGTGTGGCGGCTCGATCTAGCTCACTGCAACCTCCCGCCCCTCCCAGGTTCAAGTGATTCCTCCACCTCAGCTTCCATAGCTGGACCAAGGTGTTCACCACCACGCCCAGTATTTTGTATTTTGGTAAAGATGGGTTTCTCATGTTTCTTCAGGCTGATCTGGAACTCCTGAGCCTCAAGGCGATCCGCCCGCCTCAAGCCTTCCCAAAAGCGCTTAGGATTATGGGGCATAAGTCACTGCAACCGGTGGAATGTTTCTTCCACAAGAAGAGGTCTTTGTGAGTAAGATCATGAAAGAGCACCTCCACCCATGTTCAGACCTGAAGGTATCATTTAGGACGTTCCATGGCTATTCTCGTTGGCAAATCAGGCTTCCAGAAGCATAAACTACTGGTTTCTTTCAGCGTCCTTTTACGGGAGGTTGACACCTAAGTGTGAGTTTGAGCCTGATAGGCAAAAGTGAAGTGTGTGTTCGTGCATAGCTAGCCTGAGGACAATGTGGCTAGTGGATAATGAACGGTGAGGGCCACCCTTTTCAGGTTCAGATAAAACTTAATGAGCTACTAGAATTGAATTGAGGATATGAATGATGAATGATGTGGTTTTTTTGTTTGTTTTGTTTTTTGGAGACAGAGTCTCACTCTGTCCCCGCAGGCTTGGAGTGCAGTGTGCAACTCTCGGCTCACTGCAATGCTCCGCCTCCCGCGTTTGCACTACGGCCATTCTCCCGCCCAGCCTCGCTGAGGCAGCTGGGGACTACAGGCGGCACCACCTAACGCCCGGTACATTTTTTGTTATTTTAGTAGATGAACTTGGGTTTTCACCGGTGGATGCCAGGATGGTCTTCTATTCCTGACGCTTGTCTTGATTCTTACCCCCTCCGCCTCCCAAAGTGCTGGGATTATAGTGTGAGCCACGCCCCCGGTTTTTTTTGTTTTTTTTTTTTGAGAATGGTCTTGCTCTGTCCAGGCTGGCAGGCTGTGGCACAATCCTCGTGGCTCACTGCAACCTCTGCCTCCCGGGTTCATGCGGTTCTCCTGCCTCAGCCTCCTGAGTAGCTGGGATTACAGGTGTGCGCCACCGTGCCCGGCTAGTTTTTTTTTTTTTTAGAGATGGGGGTCTCACTATGCTGCCCAGGCATGTCTCAGACTCCTGGGATCAAGTGATCCTCATCTCTTGCCTCAGCCTCCCAGAGTGATAGGATTACAGGCGTGAGCCACAACGCCTGGCCTAGACATATTTTTGAGTCAACAGTTGCAAGAGCTACTTAGAAATTTTACAGGGGGTTCTGCACCCCTTGCTTTGTACCTTCTGCTTACCCTGACCCCCCTCTCTCTCCACACCAGGTTCTTTTTTCGATCGGGGAAACAGACCTAGATCCAAGGCCACGACTAAGGCTATGGCTCTGATTCTGGATGACAACCTTCCAAGATGCCTGGCAAAGCCACCTCTCTGTGCCACACAGACACACTGGGCCTGCGTATTCATTTCCCCTTCAAAGCAGACTGAGGAGGGAGGAGACAAGGTTCTCTTGGCATCACTTTCTCCCTGACTGCGGAAGTAGACACCGTTGAAGATTTGGCCTGGGCCAGTGAAGCAGAAATCAAGAAAAACAGAAGGGATGTGTGGGGGTTGGGGCCCACTTCCTGCTCCTACGTCAACCCCTAGGGCCTCCTGCGTGCAGATGCATGTCCTATTCATCTGCTCCCAGGGATGACCCTGGTCTTCAATGTTTAGCAGAAAGGAGAAAAGAAAGCAGGAAAATGTGCTATTGATATTCCAGTGGTGACTTCACTGATATTTAGTGAATATTTGATTTAGCCAACATGCCTTTCTTTATGTGATTTTGTATTAAAGTAAAATGACTTTTATACTTTCTATAGCTTATCCAGAGTGGTCTCTTAGTTATGATGGTATACATGGTGGTGTATATGTGTATATGTCACATACATACATTTCATTGTATAATGAATCAATTGCATTCATTGAATCTAAGCAATAAACCATTATTTGGTGTCACTATGAAGGGAAAGATTGCTGCAAACTAAAATGTTAAGAAGCTATTGATTTTAGGACTCATCGTGATTTCAGAGGTGTTAAGATGTGAACAAAATGTATTTAGGAATCAATGAAACAGAGAGTGGGTGTCTGCACTTTGCAAAGGAATTAATGAGGCTACCGCACCCATTCCGTGAGCCTGTCCTCTTAGTAAATAACAGTGGCTTACTCAGTGTGTTTCACCTGCTCTGTGGCTTATCTCGTTTGTTCCTTATAACCTGGGTAGATGGGAACCGGTACTGGTGCACCAGTTTATAGATTTTTTTTTTTTTTTTTTTGAGATGGAGTCTCTCTCCGTTGCCCAAGCTGGAGTGCAGTGGCATGATCTCAGCTCACTGCAAGCTCCACCTCCCAGGTTCACGCCATTCTCCTGCCTCAGCCTCCCAAAGCGCTAGGATTATGGGCATAAGTCACTGCACCGGTGGAAGTGTTTCTTCCACAAGGAAGGGTCTTCTGAGGTAAGATCATGAAAGAGCACCTCCACCCAGGTGTCAGACCTGAAGGTATTCATTTAGGACGTTCATTGGCTATCTCGTTGCAAATCAGGCTTCCAGAAGGCATAAACTACTGGTTTCTTTCAGCGTCCTTCTACGGGAGCTTAGGACACCTAAGTGGAGTTTGAGCCTGATAGGGCAAAAGTGAAGTGTGTGTTCTGTGCATGAGCTAGCCTGAGGACATGTGGCTAGTGGCTAATGAACGTGAGGCCACCCTTTCAGGTTCAGATAAACTTAATGAGCTACTAGAATGAATGAGTGAATGAACCCAGGATGGTGCCACTGCACTCCAGCCTGGGCGATAGAGGCAAGACTCTGTCCCCCACCTCAAAAAAAAAAAGCCAGAGAACGGGTGGTCGACGCCTGTAATCCCAGCACTTTGGGAGGCTGGAGGTGGGCGAATCACGAGGTCAGAGATTGAGACCATCCTGGGCTAACATGGTGAAAACCCCGTCCTCTTACTAAAAAATACAAAAAATTAGCCGGTGTGGTGGCAGGAGCCTGTAGTCCCAGCTACTTGGAGGCTGCAGGCAGGAGAATGGCGGGAACCTGGGGGTGGAGCTTGCAGTGAGCTGAGATCATGCCACTGCAACTCCAGCTTGGGCAACGGAGAGAGACCTCCATCTCAAAATAAAAAAAAAAAAAATTCTATAAACTGGTGCACCAGTACCGGTTCCCATCTACCCAGGTTATAAGGAACAAACGAGATAAAGCCACAGAGCAGGTGAAACACACTGAGTAAGCCACTGTATTTACTAACGAGGACAGGGTCACGGAATGGGTGTGCGGTAGCCTCATTTATTCCTTTGCAAAGTGCGCAGACAACCCTCTTGTTCATTGATTCCTAAATACATTTTGTCACATCTTAACACCTCTGCAAATCACGATTGAGTCCTAAAATCAATGAAGCTTCTTAACATTTTAGTTTGCAGCAATCTTCCCCTTCATAGTGACACCAATAATGGTTTATTGCTTAGATTCAATGAATGCAATTGATTCATTTATACAATGAAATGTATGTATGTGGACAGTATACACATATACACCACCAATGTATACCATCATTAACTAAGAGACCACTCTGGATAAGCTATAGAAAAGTATAAAAGCATTTTACTGTTAATACAAAATCACATAAAGAAAGGCATGTTGGCTAAATCAAATATTCACTAAATATCAGTGAAGTCACCCACTGGAATATCAATAGCACATTTTCCTGCTTTCTTTTCCTTTCTGCA